TCAAAACCATGTTGATCGTCTACCCACTTTCACAAACCTATGAAACACATTGCAAGTCTGTATTTGAGAGCCACAAGTCATATATCTTAAGAACCCAAAGAAGTTCCAGGAATCCTTCTCAAGCAGGAAGTATCAGTGGTTCCCCAGGGGTCTACTACTCTGTTGTGTAATGTGACCATCCTTCGACGTGCAGCTGGTTTCAGGAGCAACACAATGATGTCTTTACCAAAGCTCCTTGTACATCACCAGCAAAAAAATATTAAATGCAATTTCACTTAAAAACACAGAAATGCACAACCAAAAAATCCACTAAAAGTAAAAAAATACAAAACCAAGAGAAAAGCAATCAAACAAAAAAACCCACAACCAAGCAAAACAAATAAAACCTACATAGAATCTCCCCCCAAAAAACAACCTACCTAACAAACAACAAACACTACTACTTGACGTGCCATATCTGGATAGGTGAGGTGTTTACACTGCCTGTATCACAAAGACAGGACTTCACTCTGCCTTGAGGAATGTTAATTTTGAAACTCTTAGAACAGTGGAATTGAATCTAAAATGCATACAAAAGGTATCTGCCACCCAGTTCAGACACACAAAGAACAAGACCTGGATATAATCAGCAGAAGTCCCAAAGCCAAACCAGAGACCATATGCACAAGGAAAGCTGTATCCTGAACTTGTAATTCCTTCTTTTAGCTGGCAAGTTTTCTATACAAAAAAACTACTTGGGTTTTGACCCAAGTTCTGAACTCTCATAAAAGAAGCAAAAAGATGCTTTTAACTTCTATCAGGACAACTTTTCATGCTTAACTCTAATATTCCTGATAAAATAGCAACTTACTAACCAAAAAGCTTACTGCTAACAGAAGTGAAGAGCTTGCTTTATCCACCAGCCATTCACAGTAAGTTCTACCAACAGTTTCCTTTACCATTTAGTTTCTTCTGTTGATCTCAAGAACTCCTGTGTACTAAGTATGTATCTACATATGTATAGTTTTATGTATATGCTCTCTCCTGCTATATACACACGTTTTTATTATCTATTAAATTTCTACAAAAAGAAAGCTACCACATAGGAGTAATTATGCAAATATCCTTGGAGAATCGCTGTTTTAACTCCCACTTCTATTTCTTGAAAGCAATAACCTCAAGTCACGCCTTTCAATTCATCTTCTTTACCTTCAATGGAACATATGAATTTGTATAGTAAATTGAAGCCTGCTGACAAAATCTTTACTTAACTGCCTTTTCTGGTCCATAATCTATTCAATCCACAAAGTGAATTAAACCCATTGAAATTACTATCTTCTATTAACATCAGCTTTCAAGTGTGCAAAGACTGGGAAAAGTCCTTAGTGTGAAGCAGATGCTTTCTGCTTACTGCAAAAATGGAAGAACAGTGCATTTCAGCCAAGTACTTTGTAGTTAAGATGCACTGAGAACATCCCTTTTTACCTGCAAAGAAGGAAGGTTTGCTCAAGTTCTCTATACCTTGTTCTGCAGAAAACATAGGAAGAGCAAAGAGATGGGACATCAGATTATTATTCAATTAGCACCAGTGTGTCACTTCTACAGTCCCTGTTCTACCTAGAGCTTGTCTTGCAGTTCAGGTATAACTGCCCTTCCTTGCTGATTAAGCTTTCTTATTACTACCTAACTAGAATATATTTACTCCTATTTAAGTTTGCAACAGAATGCTTTCAAGAACACTACACACAACTTCTCCGAGAACCAATATCACGTTTTTGTGTCTACGCTCACTTGCTATCCAGATGAACATTATCTGTGACACTTTACCTTGAACTATTTAAAAATATGCCAGAATAGTGATATCAAGTAAAGAAGAAGCTGGAAAGTAGATTCCACTGTAATTATTACACAAGAATAGTGTTTACACTAGTCTGCAATTTCCATCATGCTTGGTTCTAGTACTGATTTATAGCTTCAGGGGTTGCTGAAATAGGCAAGGGAAATCCAAACAGCACAGCCAGTTATTTAACAACAAAAATACAAGAGATGCACTTTTCCACCTGTAACAAAACAGAACTTCGGGCTCAAGAACAGCAGCAAAGTTTTCTGCTCATTTACCAAACAGATGAATAGATGCAATGCTGGGAAATAATGCAGAAATGTGGCAAACTGTCCATTCCTTTCCCGTACCTCAGAAATAATTCACCTTCATAGCTAGTCACAAGGAATAAAGGATAGCTACAATTCTTTACTACAGTGCTGACAAGTGCATAAAATTGAAAGTTTATGATCAGTCCCTTCTCCAGCCCTCCTACTGATGAGACTACAGGCTTTCCACTACTTTTGCAAGTCACTGTGTTTCCCTAAAAAAATACAACGCAGTACCCATGAGGCCTTAGATTTTGTACATCCAGCCCTGATCCACTGATTCTAATAACTTTCTAAAGCAATGATGACGGCTCCCCTACATCAGGCTGTATTTAATTCTTATCAAGACTGTGACTCCAGCATGACAGCTACGGACATTTACACCAGACATCAGAGGGAAGTGAATAGTTTTACTGTACTTGTGAAGTGTCAAATTTGTAAAGTGGCATAGACTCCTTATAGTTATCATCAATACCATTATTTAGATTATCACTGTATTCACCTTCATCTCTTCTTCTTTTCTACCAATTCTTGAAAGTTTGATCATCTTTGCAGTTTATTCCCAGCAGCAATTTTCAATTGCTTTCTTCACTTGTTCCACTTCCCTCCCTCCCATTCTGTACGAAACAGGACAACTAGAAGCTTAGGAAATGTATTTTCTTACTGATCTCTACTTCCACTCTTCAGAAGTCACGTTTCCAGATTTGAAAGCTAAATACATCAACACTTTCCAAGTCAGAGTTAGCTATCCGTCTGCAGTTGCAGCTTGCTAAGGCAACTCCCCTCCCAGTAAAAACTATCTATATCTAGATTTCTGGAAACTCACAAGGTGGGGAGGGGTGTGAAATAAAAGAAGGCTAAACAGGGACAGTCATATAAAGATATTCTGTAAGCATCATACTCCTTTGGCAGTAATAATTTTAATAATGGAAGTAGGCTAGGCAAAAACAGCTCCATCATTTAGAATGGTAATCTTTGACCTTCCATTTACAAAAACAGTTTCCTGATAATACACGGCAAACATGAAAATAAGCTTTCCAGGACCTGCCTGTAAACTAAGCTATGCGGTTAATGACTGATACAAGCGTAGGAAAAAAGTTTTAAAACCTGTTAAAGCTTTTAAATGTCCTGCTGAGCACATCTTAAATGAGTAACAAAGTCTTGCTTCACAGGCAAGTGTCAAGTTCGAATATTACACATCCTCCGGATAGTTACTTTTAATGAAGTTGCTGTGAATTGTAATGTTTAGTTGTTTTAGTCTTATGAATTGCTATGGCTTTTAAACAGCTTTGATATACTAGTGTTTATGGGCAGTCACAATTACAAAGTGGTTTTCCAACCTATCTTCAGCAAGGTGGCTTGTTTCAAGTAATAAGAAAATTTACACACATAATAATCAGACTAGCCCCTGGTAAATTCACATTTGTTGAACATCTAAGAGTTCAGAAGAGTAGCCTTGCTCACACTGCTGTATTTGTTCATGTTTCTCTTCTCACCTGATAAGGCTTCCCCTGTTCCCCTGCCCCTCTTCTCTTTCTTATCTTTAGTGATCAGAAAGAAGGGCAGAAAGACAGACAGGCAGATTAACAGCATGTTCACAAACACCTCTTAGAAGTCTAAAACCACTTTGCAAATTTACTGCAACTTAAACCTTCAGCATTCATCATATTTCCAGTTTTAGAAATCTAAACTATAGCACAGGAGTGATGTGACTTTTTGAACCCTAATTCAACCCCTATAAATTGGCTGTCATCCCTGGATGCAGGAAAATTCTAATCAGGTTCTTTAAAATGTGAACACTGCACATGCTAGAAGACTAGCATTCAACATCAGAGGACTGATTTTTGTATTTAGTAAATCAAACAAACAAACAAAAAACAACCCCAAACAACAAATCCCCACCCACACCACCAACAAAAAAAACCCAGCTGGGAAACTGTACTTTCACTTCAGAAAATAAATAAATGTTAATATTTATATTGCTCTGACAGCTCTAAAGAAGGAAGGGCCATGCAGGCTGAGAGTTGTGGTTGCTCAGCCTGGAGAAGAGAAGGCTCAGCAGAGACCTCAGAGCAGCCTAAAGGGGCCAACAAGAAAGCTGGAGAGGGATTTTTGACAAGGGCAGGTAGTGGCAGGACAAGGGGGAATGGCTTTAAACTGACAGAAGGTAGATTTAGATTAAGTATTAGGAAGAAATTCTTCACTATGAAGGTGGTGAGACACTGGCACGGGTGCCCCGGAGAACCGGTGGCTGCCCCATCCCTGGCAGTGCCCAGCACCAGGCTGGGCTGGGCTTTGAGCAACCCTGTCTAGTGGAAGGTGTCCTTGCCCATGGCAGAAGGTTTGGAACTAGATGATCTTGAGCGTCCCTTCCAACCCAAACCATTCTATGATAGAAGAATCATAAAATACTCTGTATCAAGAACTAAATAAACAAGCCACTACTCCACCTTTAGAGATAGCCTACGTAGTGTTTTGTACAACACATATTATGCATTGTGCCTTGCACTTTATAGACAGTAGCTTTATTTTACCATTGTAATACAATGTTTCAGCTTTTGACACTTCGTACATTGTTTTTTCCCCTCAAAAGAGCAATACTACTGTGCTGGATGCTGACACAATTTTAATAGTATATAAACTTTATTACATAAGGTGTACGCGAGATCATTACAGTTCATCGCTGAAGCGATGCAAATGTAACAAGGAGATTAAGCACCTGCAAGAAAGCATGTGCAGTCCTCCTAACTAGGTCTGCTTGCTAACCAGGAAGCTTTGGCACCGAGTTAAAATACAAACCAGTTTATAACAGCATAGAAGAATAATACAGGAGAATACATAGTCAATTCTAACTGAAATGAGTAAGTGCTTACCTTGACTCTCCACTACTGTTTCTTACGCTTTCTTCATCACTGTGCCCATTCATTGTAAATATTAGTCAGTTCAAAAGATAAATAAAAGACCACTCTGGTTACAATGTGGATATCAAGAATCCACTTCTTGGTATTCTGCTCGTTTGCCAAGTCAGGTATTAGCTCTAGTGTTCTTTGCGTGTATTCAAGATTCCTCCTCAAATGCCTAAAATAGTAAAGAAAAGTTACACAATTCGAAAGCATGTCTGCATCTAAAAAGAAACAAAAAATAACATGGCAGTATAGATGGCAATGTGTGCAGAATAGGAAATAGTATGGAAATTACATTCTCTTTAGCACTGCAGGGTAAGAACTGCATGTCTGCACTATACCACATGGTTTAACTTTTGCCATACAACTGACTTCAGGATGAAATGGATTAAAATTTTAACAAAAAAACTGCTCACATGAACACAGAGGTAAAACAACATGCATACTGGTCTGCTAAGATGTGCTTAGTAAAATGTATTCGAGAAACAAAACATAGTGGAAGCAGTTCCAGGTATACACATAATGCTTAGAGCCACTTATGGGTAAAGGCAGTAAGATAAGACTGTCCTGTTTAAAACAAGTGTCTCCACTAAATCAAACCAGCAAGATCCCACACATGGAATAATCATTATTCCACATTCAAGAGCATCTTAAATCAGATCACTGCAGTATCCCATGCAATTAGATATGTTTAGGCTCACGGTAAATGGGCTGCAAGCATAAACTCACTGATAATCAGCTGAAAAGCACCGCCTCACAGATTTAGTGAAAGTGATTAGGGTCTCTCCTGTCGGCTGCCTGCCCTGAGGTGCTTTCCTCTAATACGTAACAGCCCAACCCCGAGCTCACCGGGTGGTGGCAGTGGGGGATGCATGGCCCCGCAGAGGGAAATGCTCCGTGCTCAGGCACCATCTCAGGCACCCGAACCACTCCGGCCACCAAACAAAGGCGATGAGGGAGAAGAAAGTAACAGAAGGAAGCCCTGCAACCCCGCAGGGCCTGCGAAGCGACGTCGGGGACCGCGCGGAGGCGAGCCAGGCGGCTCCCCGCAAGGCTGCGCTCTTCTCTG